TGAATTTGATCTTTTTTTTAAAAAGAGGAATTGGAGAAAGAAGTATACTGTGAATATTTAAGACAATTTCATTTAAAATCCAATGGACATCCAGAGTATTTCATTAAATGAAAAAAGCAAAGCTCAAAAGTGTATAGTGTGTTAACTTTCATGTAAGTAAGAAAATAACTATCTGTTCCTTTCTACAACTATCTACAAAAGGAATACAAGAATAAATCAGAAATCAAAGAAACTGGTCACCTATGGAGGGAGGAGGAAAAGGGAAGAAAGAAGGGAGAGTAAGAGGAAGGAGCCCTTCTTCCACTCTGCCTTTCTGCTGAGTGCATGTGCTCTCCCTGCCCCATTTCCCCCCAAACTTAAACTTCTTAGAACGCTACTGTTTTCAAGGAAATAGTTATGTTCTCCCTACAGAGACAGAGAGGCAAGACAGTACAGTGATAAATAACATGGACTCAAACCAGATGAATCTTGGATCCTCCACCTATTATATGCATGGGCCAAACTACTTAACTACTCTGACCCTCTGTATTCCCATTTGTAAAATGAAGTTACTAAGACGACCTACTAGGGCTATTACAGAGATGAAATGAGATGATGTATGTATCATTACCATGATACCTGATACATGGTAAGTACTCAATCAATGTTAGCAGATATTATTTGTATCTAGAAAACCTAAGTCAGTTTCTTACTGCAAGGAACACTTTAAACAGTGAGTGTGGTCGCCTGTAAGAGAAGCCCAACTTCCTGCTCCTGAGAATGTTGCCCCATACAAAGAAGAAAGAAGTCCTACCTTTCTAACCGTTGGGAAAGGTTCTGTTGGAATTATATGCAAATGAAGCGGGCGGGCTGTGAGCTGACTGAAGGCTGGAGTTAATTCAAAACAGTTTTGGAAGAGGGATACTCTGGCAAAGATATAGAGTCCAAGTCTGGCTCTAGACATGGCCACCACTAAGCGGCGAACATCCCTTTAGGAAACAAATAAAATAATTAGCACACTTTATAGTAAACATATTCATGCAGATTCTTTTCCTTTTTTTTCTACATTCCACTAGTCCTGTTTAGTCATGGCAATAAAAAGTTAAACGTCTTAAAAACTTAATAGAATGAACATAAAGCTAACCAATATTATGTGACTAGTAAACCAAATAAGTTGATAGTTTATTACTACTAACCTCTTGTTGGTTCTTATTTGTGCGGGTAAGGGAGATCACAAAATAACCACTGCGCTGATTTAAAAGGTCTAAGTAACAGTATTATGGTACAGTTCAGTTGTTAGTCACCAATCTACTCTACCACTACCACTGAGTCAATCCACTTCACCTACCAAACTCCCAGGCCTCATTAAAGTTAAATTTTACTTCCTAGATAAACTCTTACCACACTATTTTATACTTATTTATAGCCATAAGCACATATGAAAATATAGTATAATGATACAATAGAGGTTGAGCATCTCTAATCTGAAGATCCAAAATCTGAAATTCCCCCCAAATCTAAAACTTTTGGGGCACTGACATGATGGTGCAGTGGAAAATTCCATACCTGACTTCATGGGATATGGAAACACAGTTTACTCAGTTTTCCTATGGGAAAACACAATTAACTTCAGGTTGTGTATATAAGGTATATATGAACCCTCAATAAATTTTGTGTTTAGACTTGGGTCCCATCCTCAAGATATCTCATCATGTACTTGCAGATATCTCAAAATCTGAAAAAATCTAAATCCAAAACACTTCTGGTCTTGAGTATTCCAAATAAGGATATTCAACCTGTAATATCAAGTCTTATTCGTATATTTACTCTAGTATGTAGATTCAATGCCTGGCCTACAATAGGTATTCAATGTTCACATGAAAAGTTATAAAAACAGTTAAACTGAATGACTCAAATATACATGTTGCTGGCTAACTGATAGAAAATGTCAGTTTTCTTTAGTCTATTGTTTAAAAAGAAAAAGTTGGGGTGGCGCCTGTGGCTTAAAGGAGTCAGAGTATCAGATGCAGAGGTGGTGGGTTCAAACCTAGCTCTGGCCAAAAACTGCAAAAAAAGAAAAAGAAAAAGAAAAAGAAAAAACTGGTTCAGTACCCATAGCACAGTGGTTACAGTGCCAGCTCCATGCACTAAGGCTGGCAGGTTCGAGCCCAGCCAGGGCCAGCTAAACAACAACGACAACTACAACAAAAAATAGCCAGGTGTTGTGGTGGGCACCTGTAGTCCCAGCTTCTTGGGAGGCTGAGGCAAGAGAATCACTTAAGACCAAGAGTTTGAAGTTACTGTGAGCTGTGACACCACAACACTCTACTGGGGGTGACATAGTAAGACCGTCTCAAAAAAACAAAAAAAATAATAAATATATAAATAAATAAATAAAGTTTTCATTAAAATGTCTTGGATAAATTTATAAAAGATGGCTGTATATTAAGATTTCATCTCATGGGTGGCGCCTGCAGCTCAGTGGGTAGGGCACTGGCCCATAATACTGAGGGCCCCATAACCTGGCTTGGGCCAAACTGCAAAACAAAACAAAAAAAATAGCTGGGCACTGTGGCTGGTACCTGTAGTGCCAGCTCCTTGGGAGGCTGAGGCAAGAGAATTGCCTAAGCCCAGGAATTGGAGGTTGCTGTGAGCTGTGATGCCACAGCACTCTACTGAGGGCGATAAAGTGAGACTCTGTCTCCAAAAAAAAAAAAAAAAGATTTCATCTCACTATTAGAATGTGTTTTAGTAAGAAAAGATCACTTTGACTTTAAATACAGAGTACAGTTTGTTTTCTTGGGATGCTTTTGTATGGCTATTTAAATTTTTGAGTACTCTACAAAGAGAATACTTAAATGAAGAATAATAAGGTGTAATAAATCACCCCTAATCCCTGAAAGAAAGTGTTAAGGAGTGTTAACACTTAATGCTGCAGAGATCATAAAACCATCCCCAGAGAGGACCAGGAATTGGAATGTTTATCTGATAGTTTTTCTTTGTCTCTGTGGCAAGTTATTTTGGGAATACCTCTAACTCAGTCTCATTTTCTATGGTGTTTTATGGTCTTAAAAAGAATCACTTCCCTTATCAGGAAGTGCTGTATGATACCATTACATAATTTATCAGTTATAGTCTTGTGAGTGTGTGTGTGTGGGGAGGTGTTAAGGTGAGGATCTGTACCCTTCCTCCAGCACACACATAAACTTAGGTACTAAAGGGGAAAACATGCTCCCTTATAAGAGTTTTGAGGAATCCCTACATTTGAGGGACACTGGATTCATAAAGGAAATACCATCTACTATTTTAAGCTAAATTATTTATTATGTTTTCTGTATTTCCTTAGATCCCCAAGGAGTCATTCTATAGGTGACTGATTTCAATACTGGTAACTGAATGTGCACTGCTAGAAATACTGAGCATGAGTTCTCACACAAATTTTATAAAGGAAATTATGGTTAAAGTTTATATTGTCGGCGGGGGGAAGCGGTGGTGGTGGAAGGAAGTATTATTTTCATGGTGATCCCTGTGTTATGCTCAGTTTTCCCCCCTCACATCCAGAAGGTTCTATCTCTAGACAGAGCAGGGATACAGTGCAATTACAGGGACCAGAAAAACTTTTCCCTGCAGTATGGTGGCTTTTATAATTATGATCTCTACTACACGTAACGAGATCTGAACTAAATCTTCTGCAGTTTGACTTATAGTATCTTCCAAGGATATACTTCTTATCTCCCTCACTGGACTCTAAACTCCACGAAGGCAAAGATCGTGACTATTAGATTTATTTCTATATATCAAGAACCTAGCACACTGCCAAATAATAAAGAGACCTGAAATTATTTGTTAAATGAATGACTAAACTACCAAGCAAAAAAAGCAACAAGTGAGAGGCAGGGTTCCTTGGAGCTGTATATTAAAAGCAGGGCAATGGGGACTAGCATCTTCCTCTTACTCCCCAGAAAATGGCTCAACAGAAGGAGTACTATTAAACAAAAGAACCAAAACCCCATGAGAACCCCTGTGAGGAAACAAGACAGGAAAGCTGCAGCCTCACCACCTCCTCCTGAACAGGTCCCAAGCATTTCTATGGGTACCGAAGCTATGCATATCAGTTAGGGACAAGAACAATGAGTGCTAGTCAAGGACTAGAAATGTCCCACTACTCTGGCTTCTGAACAGCTCCACACAGTCCTAAAACAGATCTCTGGAACTGAAGCTGGCTCCTACTCAGGATAAAAATGGTGTGAGTAAAGAGAATATGGCAGGCACCTGGAAAACAGTACAACAGTTCCTTAAAAGGTTAAACGCAGAGTTATCATATGATCTAGAAATTCCTCTCCTATCTATAACCCAGAGAAGAGAAAATAATAGTTCATGTAAAAATGTGTATATGCACGTTCAAAACAGGATTATTCATAACAGTCATAAAGTGGAAAATCCAGCATCCAACAATTGATGAATCAATAAATAAAATGTGAGATATCCACACAACAGAATATTTTTCAGCAATAAAAAGGATTAGAGTACTGATATATCTCACAACGTCAAGGACCCGTGAAAACACTATGCTAAGTGAAAGGAGCCAGTCACCGAGATCACATATTCTATGACTGCACTAACATTAAGTGTCCAAATTAGGCCTATTTTCAGAAATAGAGAGTAGTAATGGTGACCAAGGGTTTAGGGGCTTATTTGGATAAGTATATTTTTGCTTAGAAAATTTTGAAATGCAACGTAATACTAAAAGTTTTCTTTTAATCCTTCATTTATATAAGCATTTTACTAGCAAAATCTTTTTTAAGTTTCCAGAAATATTAGGCAAAGAACAGCACAGAACTAAAGTGGCTGGAATTTGAAAAGCACACAGGAAAAGTACCACAGGGTAAGAGAAAAGGGGTGAAGAAGCAGTATCGTGTAATTTTACTCTTAAGTTTTTGAGGTTTTAATTATGTAAGCCATAATAATGGCCCATCAGATGCCAGTTATAAATCTTAACAAGTAAAAAGAATTTTTCCTTTTTAGAAAAGTCTCCAAATATTTGCTTGACACTAAAATAAACAAGCAAAAATAAACACTATTTTAGAAGGCTATTGTTTGAAAAACTTTCTGAAACACTACATTTTTGCTTACTCTTACATAAAAAGTTATCAGTCTAATGGAATCTGATCATTGGATTAAGCTCCAAATAGATCTTGACTTAGTGACATTTTGAGAGCCTGAATAATTTTCTTTTTATACCACCCAATAAAATAAACTCTCCTTATAGTTTTGCTAGTAAGTCATTTGTGATGAAGGTTTATATAAAAATAAAGAGCTGCTTTGTATTAAGCAGACATTATTCCCATAAATCTCTAGCACATAAATACATCACAATAAATGATAAAAATAGATTATTGTTTGTTTTGACAATTCTTAATCTTAAGAGAACAAATGGCTCCTTCATCCTCTAACACTGAAGCTAAAAGATGTGTGTGGGAAAAAAAAAAAAAATCAGAAAACTCATGCAATGAAAATTTATTCCTAAGAGAATTTTTACCTCTTTATGCCCTTTAATTTCTTTCTTTCTTTTTTTTTTTTTTTTAAGACAGAGCCTCAAGCTGTCCCCCTGGGTAGAGTGCCATGGCATCACAGCTCACAGCAACCTCCAACTCCTGGGCTGAAGCGAGTCTCCTGCCTCCGCCTCCCAAGTAGCTGGGACCACAGGCGCCCGCCACAACACCCGGCAATTCCTTGGTTGCAGCCATCATTGTTGTTTTGGCGGGTCCGGGCTGGGGATTCGAACCCGCCACCTTAGGTGTACGTGGCTGGCGCCTTAGCCAGTTGAGCTATAGGCGCTGAGCCCATGCCCTTTAATTTCTGATACCAAGTTTCTAACAGATACAGGATTAAGATTTTATAATAAAATACTCTGAATGTTACTGAAGAGTTAAAATGTTAATATTACTAAAATATTTAAGAGTAAAAAACTCAGTGGCAATGGTTAACTACATAAGGAATCTGATAATGCTACATTCCAACAAAAAGCACCAAAAGTTGCCATAACAATTAATTATAATTTATTTTTCTTGCTACTTCAATTTTAATTATAATTTAAACTTAAAACAATTAGTGATAGAAGTTCAAAATTGAAGTAGACAGTAAAGTTCAGTAATATTAGGGAAGTTTTTTCCTACATACCTTAGATGGCCCACTGCCCTGGTTCGTACTAGAGAAAGCAGAATATAATCATTCTGTTGGCCTTGGAATCTATCAACAGTTGTTACCTAGGAAGAACAAAGGGGAACTATGATATATTTTCAAAAACACAGTGAAAAAACTCTAGACATCCTATAAATAATCTCCTAGAAGAATCATCTAGATTCTTAGAAATATCTGATCCTTAAAATAACCTGAAAAGAAATATAATCTGGAATTCCCAGAACAAGTTAATGAACACTTTTAAATAAATCACAGTAACCACATTAAGCTACGTCTTTGTGTCATTCACACTTACAGCACTTGTCTTTATCTTTGCCAATAACTAAATAACTATTTTTGGAATTAATTCCCCCTTTAGAATGCCAAACTCTACGAAACCAGGGGCCATGTTAAGATTAACTGGCATCTCAGTCTGATGCCCAGCAATCAAACTTAGTATGCTCGTTTATAATTTAACATATAACCAGTATTTATCTATAGCATTCCTTTGTCAAATGAAAAAATAAAGTCTGTACAGTACTTTTCGTTCAATTTGAAAACGTATGTACAAATAGGAAAGTTCAGTAAGGCTTCAGTCAATGTATTAGTGACAAAATTCCAGTGCTGGCCCTCAGGCATTTAGCTTTCTTTGGTATGTCTTTGAATACTGCCCAGACTGATCTCAAACTCCTGGCCTCAAGTGGTCCTTCTGCCCCCACCTCCCAGAGTACTAGAATTAGAGGCACGAGCCACTGCACCCAGAGGATTTCCAAACTTTCTGTTTCAAAGTTATTAGTTTCTCATTTTTACTCTCCACATTCCTCACGGAGTATTCTGCAGTGTCTGCTCTTCCCTGTATTCTTTTTTGTTTTCATTCCATGGTTTGTTTTTTTTTTTTTCACCAGTTCACTTTTCCTCTGAGGTCTCCTATTTCCCTGTTTTGTAGCTTTTCCTGACAGAAATGGTTACATTAAATATTTTTCAATTTTTATCACATCATTGTGTATGTGAAATTTTCATCTGTTCCAGGCCAACACATTTTCTGGAGTATGTGTCTCGTGTATGTTTGAATGTTCTTTTCCTCGTTTTCCCTATAAATTGAATTTATGCTAGTTCCCTTTTTATGAATCAGTTTAAATTAGCTACACACAAAAGGTTAAGTTGAGGCGCGGTGCCTGTGGCTCAAAGGAGGAGGGTGCTGGCCCCATACGCTGAAGATGCCAGGTTCAAACCCAGCCTGGGCCAAAAAATGCAAAAACAAAAAAAGGTTAAGCTGGGGTGAATAAGGGTGTTTTCTGAACAAGGCTGGATGGTTTTTGCAACAAAATGCCCCGTTCTTTTCTGCTCCTGTTGAGATAGTCTGCTTTGGCTCGGCGCCTGTGGCTCAAGTGGCTAAGGCGCCAGCCACATACACCTAAGGTAGCGGGTTCAAATCCAGCCCGGGCCACCAAACAACAATGATGGCTGCAACCAAAAAAAATAGCCAGGCGTTGCGGCGGGCGCCTGTGGTCCCAGCTACTTGGGAGGCTGAGGCAGGAGACTCGCTTCAGCCCAGGAGTTGGAGGTTGCTGTGAGCTGTGGTGCCACGGCACTCTACCCAGGGGGACAGCTTGAGGCTCTGTCTCAAAAAAACAAAAAGTAATAAAGCTCATGTGCACATCAAGTTTGTGTGCACTTTGAATAGTAAACTTATGTATATTCTGTTTTGTTATCTTCTAATTTACAGAACTCTTTATTAGTAGAATCAAGCACCATTCTTATTTGATATTATGTATCACTTTTTATTCCACAAAAAATATTTCTTAAAAAATCCCTTAAGGTCTACATACATTTTATAATCTTTCCTTATCCCTAAGATAGCCTCTCCTCAATACAATGAAAGCAGTCAAATCACACTTTTAGAAAACAAAACAAACATATTTCTACTGTAACAGTATGCAACTTAAAATGTTACCTATTACTTCAGCAACAAAAAGTTTCAGAAACTTTTATTTCTGATTACTATCAAAAAAAATTAAAAAACACCTTAGTAGTTGAGACAAAAATTCAGAGCAAACTGTTAACTGGCAGATAGTGCTGCCAGATACTTTACAGCTGCTATTATTTCATTTTCTCACATATCTTAAAAAGAGATAGTAAAGACACAAAGTAGAACGATATAAATATCTCATAATAAACATAAACCTTTCCATCATGCTGCAATGATGAATAACAGAACATATTACATTCACAAAACTACCTTATTTGGTCTTCCAATCAATGGATTGTTCCCACATCTCCTGTTGATGATGTCACGAATAAGATGCTTTTGGCCATTATACGTTGTTAGAATACTAATCTTGTCAGCAGGGTAACCAAGTAAACACATGTACATAAAAAGTGCCACTACGTACTCTGCCTCTCCAAGATTCTGTAATGCAAACACAACCAGAGTGCGCATTTATTTCCTTTTGTGTTGATTTTATTTTATTTTATTTATTAAATGATAAACACATAGATCATGCACACATTAATGCATTTATGGGGTACAATGTGCTGATTTCATATAGAATTAGGAACGCTTACATCGCACTGGTTAATATATACCTCATCTCGTCTACTTAATTATTGTGTTAAGACACTTATACTCTATACTTAATAGATCCGACATGTACCCATGCATTATGCATCATAGGTGTGGTCCCACCATTCACCCTCCCTCGATCTGACCTCCCCCCTCCCCTCGTCCTTCATCCTGGGCCATAGTTGTGTGTCAATTTTATAAAGAAAATGGCTTATTCACTTAGCACACCACAAGAAGTGAGGAATTAATAACCTAAATAAGTGAACATCTTTCACAAAACTGAGAGGTAACTACTCCAGGTTAACACTGATAAATGAAAACTTTAACATTTGCAACATATTTGCAATATGTGGAATAATCATAAAATAAAACTTTAACATAAAGGAACAAAGTAACTATCTAAGAAGCCAGTACAAAATCCAGTCTAATTGCATATGCATCTAGCTGAATTTTGGCTAAATTAGACTCCAACAATTCAGAGATAATAAAGATACAAAGTAGAGCATCTATAGCTCACATCTCTTCTCAGGCTATCAATGCACAAATACAATAATTTGATTTAATGTAACCAAGTTCTTGGAAGGAAAACAAGATCTTTACAATTTACATCTACACATATACATTTAAGCCAGTGATACATGATGCTTTTTTGTGATTGATTCAAGAGCTTTAATTTAACTAACAAAATATATTAGCTGCAAAGAGAAGGAAAAAAAAAATTTTAATAATCCTAAATGCTTCCACCTAAAGAATGTTATCTTTTGATGTATCTGCTGCCAGATCTTTTTATATTAAATTATCTGGACATATCTATTTATGTTTTGCTGTTCCTTTTTAAAAATGAGACACTATATACTTTGCAACTTGCTTTTTTTTTCACTTGATATGCCATAAACATTTTTCCCATAAGTAAACACTTTAAGATGTGACCATCCTTAGTAGCTATTCAATATTTCTTTTACATGGAATAGGGAATAATGTAATTAATCCCTAATGACAGATATTTAGGTTGTTTCCCACTTCAAAAATAATTTGCAGTAAAGATTATTTAAGCATATATGTTTTAGTAAACTCATCCATTTTATTTTTTTAAGATAAATTCCTAGAAGTGAGAACATTGTTTTTAACACATACTAACAATTTGCCCCCAAATTATTTTCCTACTAACATTTCCCCAAACCTACCCTAACAGTGAGTATTTTCAAAGAGGTGAAAATATGATCCAGTAATTTATACCTGTTATAAATCTTTTTTGGTGTGCATATTCTTATCCTTATTGTATTTCTATGTTAGAGTATTGATTTTTTTTTTTTTTGAGACAGAGTCTCAAGCTGTCGCCCTGGGTGGAGTGCTGTGGTTTAACAGCTCACAGCAATCTCCAACTCTTGGGCTTAAGTGATTCTCTTGAGTTAGCCTACCAAGTGGCTGGGATTATAGGCACTCGCCACAACACAGGGCTACTTTTTGGTTGTAGCTGTCGTTGTTTGGCAGGCCTGGGCTGGATTCGAACCCACCAGCTCTGGTGTATGTGGCTGGCGCCTTAGCCACTTGTGGCCGAGCCAGGGTATTAAGTTTTTAAAAAAGTAAAGTGTTATATATGTTCAGAATTCAACTTAATCTTGTTGAATATTGAAAATAAATCCATCGTTATTTTTCTTTATGACCTCTGCTTTCGTAACAAGCTTAGAAAGACCCTTCTCATCCCAATATATATTCATCAATTTTTTCTTCTAATAGTTTCTACTATGTTTATAGTAAGTTTCTTTTCTTTAGCATATATATCTTTAATCCATCTGAAACTGATTTTTTTTAATATATTGGATATATATAAGGTGCCACCCTAACTTTCCTTTTATCAATGGCTGGCCAAATGGTTTAATATCACTGATTTAGGCAGTACATTCCTAACAGCTTCATGATTTTTCTTACCTGATAAAAGTAAGGATTAGGTTCAGACTCTCCTACTCCCTGGAAATCTTCCACATTAATGAGCTGGAAGTCATATAGCAAGCCAGCATTTGCTGTGCTAAACTCCGGCAAAAGCTGCACGTGGGGCAAGTTTCCTAGAGTCTTGTATCGCCAGTTGTAGAGATTGCACAAGCTTTCCAAAAACAAATACCCCCCAAACGGGAAATGTTAGCAATGTAAAATCTCTTTTCATATACCTCAGGAGGTTTCTAAGAACCGTACTTCCTTTTAACTCCATGTTACTCATTTTAAACAATAATGCTTTTTCAATCTTACCCTCCCTACTTCAATTAAGCCAGGGTCCGAAGACTGAAAACATTATAAAAACGATAGCTCTATTGTGCTGAGGTAAATGCTATCTTTAGTTCCTTAAATTAAAAAATCAAGGAACAAGGTCTGGGTGTGGCGGCTCATGCTTGTAATCTTAGCATTCTGGGAGGCCAAGGTGGGAGTACTGCTTGAGCTCAGGAGTTCGAAACTAGCCTGAGCAACAGTTGTGGCAGGCACCTGTAGTCCCAGCTATTCTGGAGTAAGAAGAGAAAGGCACAAAGTAGAGTAAGATGTCACAGAATGGTCTCTATACCACTGAGTGACAGCTGCCACTAGTACAGTCCCATGGCAAGGATGCAATCCAGTGCTTTCTTGCAGCACCAGCTACCAAATACTGACTCTACTGCCTGGGGGAAGACCTCTGAAATTGCTGGTCCATTAACTTTATCTTTTAGGGATACAAAGAAAGGGGAAGGGACAGTGAGAAGAAGTCTCTATAAGGCACTAAAATAACCTCAGTGACTAAAATAAAGAAAATTATTTAGTTGGTCAATTAGTACCTCACGTAGAAGGTAATAAAGGTGATTTCAGATTTATAAATGGCAAGTTCCTGGATGGCAGGGAATGCTAACATCTATATAAAAGATGTTTACAAATACTTGGATCATGGCACTAACGTCCTTAAACAGGAGTGATCTGTTTTCTGCCTCCTTTACCTCGCTCTGGCTCTCCCTTGAGCGTCCAGATCCACTGTAGGAACTCCAACGCGGACAAAGCGAGTAAAGAGAGACTGCTCCATGTTTGAATACTTCTGAAAGGCCATGTTCTTAATGACTGGAGGTAACTGGTGATGATCACCAATCATAATCCAACGTTTCAGTCGGCTAAATCCATCCTGAGGATTCTAGAAATGAAAAGGGAGAAGTGGCAAAATACTCTAATCAACATATTATCCTGTTAGTCTCCAAATTACCGCATAAAAGACTTAATCAGATTGGCTTCCTTAGCTTACAAATTCTCCATCTTTATCCTTTCCACACAAAGGAGTCTGCCAAATTTACAGAACTTGTGACTCAAGTGTGGATTTCTGGGCTCTTAGTTGATAGGGGAAGGGAGGGTGGAGGCATTGAAAAGTGAAACGTGAAATTACTGTACTCTAACTGGCAGAATAATCCAAAGAGGTCTGGAAGGCTGAGATCAATAATGGGCATTTTACAATGTACAGAAGGAAAGAGAAGCCCAAGAGAGATGGAAAAATGCAAAGTTTTAAACCTAGTTCTAAACCCACCAAAGCAATAAAAACTGTATCTTCCTTAATATTCTAAACTACTTTTCAATTTCCTACTCTGTACGTCTCCTTCTTCTTTGAAAAGTATCCTGATAAAATTCATTCCAAGTTGCAAATAGTCTGGTTTGTAAAAACAACTTTTGGAATTCAATTTATCTGTATATTAAAGCACTCTATTCTTAAATTGGGAATTCTACATTTTGTTTCTAATGCTTCAATAGTAAAGAATATTGTACAGTAAGAAACTTCTTAAATATCACCATTTAGCTCAAAAACCTGGGCAAAAAGAAAGGCACTGCACTCAATGAACATAAAAAATAATTCTAGAAAAAATTATAACAAAAGAAATGAAGAAACAGCTCATCTTCTCTTCCAACTGCATAATATGATTTTCTTGAATAAAATTACTATGTCTTTTCAGAACTACTCTATTTCCATAGACTATAGTTTTAAATAGTACTCCTACAAATAATATTAATAAATATGGTCACCCTGGGAAGCTATGCCCTGCTGCCAGGATCTACTACATCCTTCAAACCAATTTTAGAACTCTTTGCCTAGAATGGCCATCAGAGCTGTCATCGTAAAAGGCTGACAATGAAGTTCACAGATTCACCTTAGAAAAAGGGCTCTGAAGGGTGGACTAGGCACTGGCATTGGTGCATATAGCTTCCCAAGGGGAGTCCTTCAAAGGTGAACATAATAGTGTTCAGCAATGAGGTATGTGGCACTTTTTTTAGGATGAGTTCACGAACTTCATTGTCCAACCCCCTATAATTGTGGCTATCACCAATCCCAAACTGCAGCTTTCTGATGCTGTTCCCCCAAATTCTTAAAACTATTTTCTTTGTTTCAGATGTTAGTTTCTTACCTGTAGAAGAAGAGGAATAAAAGTTTCTATCTCCAGAATCTGAGCAGCCTCTTCCATTAAAATGTTGTCATACTGAGAAAAAGAGGAAAAGTTGTCATAAACCATGCTTAAAAGCCAACGACTACCACAATCATAACAACCAAACCTCAAATAATTTCAGATAAAAATAACGTACAAATGCTTCAAACAGAAAGTTCTAGATCTCATTTATCATTACGCCCCTGCGTGTCCAATTCAAGTCTTTAATCCTCAGGAAAGCCCTCTAATTATACCCACTACTCTACTTCAAGGAAATATCATGTATCATTTCCTGGATTGCAGTATCAATTTAGTTCTTTAATTCTACCTCAGTAACAATCAATTTATAATTATACATGAGGTCATTCCCATTGGTACTTCCACACTAGGTAGTAGCATTTGGGAGTAATTTTTTTTTCTTATAAATCCTACCCTTCACAATAATCCACTTCTGTCTTACCCCTAGCCATTCAATCCATCAGCATAAAACATGTCAACCTTCAATAAACTCCCTCGAGTCTATTTACTGTTCTCTAATTTCCATCAGCACTACCCTTCTAAAAGTATCACTATGACTACTGCTGGCAATCTTCTCCTTTCCTATCTTGACTTCTCTTAAGCCAGGCATCCTCAAACTATGGCCCATGGGCCACATACGGCCCGCCTAGGACATTTATCTGGCCCACCGGGTGTTTTAGCTGCTGCTGCCTGTCCTGCTTAGCAGCCAACTCGTCCCGGGGCCCATAATCCGGCCCTCCAACAGTCTGAGGGACAGTGAACTGGCTCCCTGTTTAAAAAGTTTGAGGACCCCTGGTTAAGCCATGGATACAAAAGGCATAGGATGATGTCACTTACTGGTTTCAAGCTGTTTTGGGTGGGGAAAGTTCCTTAACATGGCCTGCAGGGAGGTATTAACCAGGGCCTATATCTGATCTGCCCGGACTTTATCTCCTACTTTAACTGTCACCTTTTTCCTTACTAAGTTTGAACCATACTGACCTATTCAGTTTCTCTGAAGGCAAAATCTTTCCTGCCTCAAGCCCTTTGCACTTGCTAGTCTCACTTCACTTTTGGTCTACTTGGCTCTTTTTCATGCTTAAAAGTATCAGCATGAAAACCACCTTACTGGGCGGCACCTGTGGCTCAAAGGAGTAGGGTGCCGGCCCCATATGCTGGAGGTGGTGGGTTCAAACCCAGCCCCGGCAAAAAAAAAAACAAAAAAACAAAAAAACAAATAACACACCTTATCCAGGCCTTCTCTGACCTCCTAATCTAAAACTGATCTCACAATACTGATTCTCTGTATTACAGAACACCACAATTTATAATATTCTATCATTATATTTACTTGTTTGATGCCTGTATCCTCTCCTCAGCCCAGTTCCCTGTAATGTGAGGTACCACACAATGAAAAAGCAAGTCTTTCTCTAACGTGAGGAGATTCCGTTCTTTCCTTGATAATTACTGCCCTTCTACCCACCCAATTTTCTTCTTGATCTGTTTTCCACATGTTTTAATCTTTTCTTTTCACTTCTAATTCTGATTGCTACCCAGTATAAGATTCTATTTTTTGTTTTGTTGGTACAATATCTTCTTCATGAAACTTACCAAGTGCAAGTTAGACTTCTTCTGTTTTTATTTTTAGAGTTTCTCCCCTTATTTTATTTTCTAGGGACACAGAGTGTAGGAGGAGCATATTTAGATTAAATGCTTAATTACCTCTCCTCTGTTAAACTAATTGTTTATATATCCTGTAATTTCTGTGCTACTCATGTTTACCAAAAGATACTGTATTTATCCAGGATTGGAGGCTGAGCAGGATTCCACCAGAAATTAAAAACACTGTTCATAAAACTACTTGAAGGTTCAGGAATGTGGATGGGTCTCTTCTCTAGCTCTAGTGCAGAATTTTCTCTCATACAATGATTAAAGTCATTTTGGTGGGAACTGAAGAGGAGTTCAAAGAGCCACGGTTTCTAAGGAATCCCTGTGTAGACGCAGGATAATAGATGCTACATGCAAAACAGAGCAAGAGTAGCTCAAAAAAAGACAGGTTAAAGGGTCTGCTTTCCAAAAAATGATGCTGAAAATGTCATGCAATTTAACTTATTACAAAGCAAATTATCAACACTTTAGCTAGTTCTTCCAAGTACAGTAAAACCTCCATAGTTAACCCCCTCTTACAGTGACCCATCTCCTTATATTGACCTAATTTCCATAGATGTGACATGTACTACATGTACGTATCAGTACAAAAGGCCCTGTTCCTTATGTTAAAGACCTCCGTATATGGACCAGTTTGTTACAGTCCCTTGGGTGGTCACTTTGCAGATGTTCTACTGTATTTAACTGCTAGATCATTGTTTCTTTGAACCTTTACTAATCCCTACTAAGATGCCAAATGACGGGTTGGCACTAGTTGCTCCACTCTAAAGGCCAGGCTAGGAGCTAGTTCACTGTAACCCAACCTTTCAGAGATTCAGAAATTCTATAGCCACTGTTACTACAGCTCTGTGGTTCTTTAGTGAAATATATGTGCTAGGATAAGGTCAGGGTTGTTTAAGACAAAGAGCACAACAAGACTTTCTATTCTTAGAAAACCATGTTTTAATCCCAGTTCTATAACTGACTGTAAAGAAATCTGTGACTCTAAGATAATCAACATTATATTTTCAATCCCTGAAAACAGATATGCAAATCAGAACCAGTATTTAACTTTGTGTTAGACATAAGTTAAGGATTTACAAAATAGAAATTAGAGGCCAGGCACAGTGACTCACACCTGTAATCCTAGAACTCTAGGAGGCCAAGAGCAGGTGGATTACTTGAGCTGAAGAGTTTGAGACCAGTCTGAGCATGAGCAAGACCTGTGTCTCTACTAAAAGAAAAGAAAGAAAGAAAACAGAGAAGAAAAACCAGCCTTGCATAGTGGCGGGCGCTAATAGTCCCAGCTACTTAGGAAGCTAAGGCAGGAAGATCAATTGAGCTAAGAGTTTAAGATGTTGTGAGATATGGCGACACCATGGCACTCAACCCCAGGGCAACAAAGTGAGATTTTGTCTCAAAAAACAAAACAAATAAAAAATAAAAATTCAAACAAAAGTGACAGACCTCTGCTAACAGGTGATGAACTGAATACTTAATAATTGCTGCTACTCCTAGGAATTCCCTAAAATAACTCTGGACGTTATAGAGGATTGGTTTAAAGAGACACTGAAACTTTCCCATTTCAAAAACCAACTGAATGACCCTCCTCTCACTCCCAGTGAAAGACAGATTGTCTAAAGAGGATCTAGGGACTTGGAAGAAGCAGGCAGAGTTAAGGGGTGGGATGAGAAATGAGCGCATACAGAACACGGGAATTATATCAAACTCTGTGCACACGGGGAATGTGAAGAAGCCCAGCCCTCTTTCCACATGCAGTTCCCACAGTCCTGGGAGCCAGGAGATAAGACTCAAAACAGATCTGACTTCCTCCTCTGCTTCCCTAAGACATAGTCACTGTGGAACTTCAGAATTCTAAGAGCAAATATAGGATTATAAAGCCTCCTAAAAGAAGAAAAAAGTGAAATAAAACAAATAAAAAATCAGAATGTCTTTGGGCTTCTCAATAGCCGCACTGGAAGCTAGAGAAAAGTAAAGAGTTGGGAGGATGCTGTGAGCTCTGACGCCATGGCACTTTACCAAGGGTGATACAGTGTCAGGAGCCAAATGACGCCAGATGGCCGCCCATCCCCTCCCCCCCCCACCCCGAGAGTGTGCTAACCTTTATCAGATAAGGAGCTGCTTTTCCCTTATCAGACAAGGAGCTGTTCTTCCCAGAGAAGCCATAAAATGTTTCAGACACATCGTTTACATTCCCAGCAGGAGATTGATGCAAGCTTCAGCTCAAGCTCTAACTCCCGCATTCCTCTGCCCCACCCCTTGTCTTCTCTGAGTCCTTTAAAAACTGACCTATTACCTCCATTAAACAGACCTTGACAAGGAATCTGCTTGGTCTCGCTTCCTCTTTCTCGCCTATTCTTTTCCAGGCTGGGTCCCCCTCGCCCCACGAATAACCGTGTCCCGCAGGATGGGACAATACAGTGAGACTATCTCAAAAAATATATATATTCTGAAGGCAAATTATTTCCAATCTAGAAATCTGTACCTAGCCATGCTAATCAAATGTGAGGGTAGACTAAAAATGCTCTTTGGACACGGGAAGTCCTAGAAATGATTCCCTCCTATCTACTCTTTTACATGAAAGATACTAGAGGCTGTGCACCAGTAAAGAAAACAAAAACAAGTTCAGGAAACAAGAGTATCTAGCATTCAATAAACACAATCTGAACTGAAATGGGTCAGGAGAATCCAGGAGAGAGGTCTCCAAAACCATGTATGCGATGTGTTTGAATGTACTAAGGAGAGTTCTGGATTGAACTGGTAGTAAAACAGAAAACTCAGCAAACAATAACAATGAAAATGACACTTACAAATTCCAGAGAAAACAAAAACATATGCATAAAAGGTAAAGTAACCTTTGTATATATCCCTGCTTGAATGTGAAAGTGTTTACATGTTAATAATAAGATAAACACTCAATCCAAAATTATAACTATACTAGGAGTACTAAAAAGAAGGGAAAGCATGCACATGCGTGTGCGTGCATGTGTGTGTGTGTGTATGTGTGTCCTGGAAGATGACAGAGTCAAAGGACAACGTTTAAAATGGAAATTTAACATCCTTTTTTTGTTTTTTGTTTTTCTGTCTCCCTGGGTAAAGTGCTGTGGCATCACAGCTCACAGCAACCTCAAACTCTTGGGCACAAGAGATGCTCTTGCCTCAACCTCCTAAGTAACTGGAACTACAGGGGCGCACCACAATGCCCAGCTGATTCATTTCTCTATTTTTTTTTATCTCCTTTAGTAGAGACAGAGTTTCCCTCTTGCTCAGGCTGGCCTTCAACTCCTGAGCTCAAGTAATCCATCTACCTGGGCCTCCCTGAGTGCTAGGATTACAGGTGTGAGCCACTGTACCTGACTGAAATTTAACATTCTTTACTGATATAGATGAAAAGGATGGTAGAAATACTAAAAGAGTTGAAGAGTTGAAGGAATAACGGGAAGGTCAAGGGAGTAGGGACTGCCCTTTTTTGTGTTAAGTAGATCTACAAGGTTTTTAAAACTCTAAGTTTGATAAAAATAAAACTTCAAAATAAAAAATATTTTTAAAAAACCTTCAGCACTCATATGACCTTTGGGGTATAGTGTGATTTAAGTGCAGAAAATAATTAATGAAAGTTTGAGGTAGCGCTGGCCACATACACCAAAGCTGGAGGGTTCAAACCCTGCCCGGGCCAGCTAAAGCAACAATAACAACTGCAACACAAATACAGCTGGGCTTTGTGGCAGGTGCCTGTAGTGCCAGCTACTAGGGAGGCTGAGGCAAAAGATTCACTTAAGCCTAAGAGTTTGAGGTTACTGTGAGGTGTGATGCCACAGCACTGTACTAAAGGCGACATAATGAGACTCTGTCTCAAAAAAAAAAAAAAAAAAAGTTAAGTTTGGTAAGATTCAAGTGATTTTTTTTTTTAGAACACATGTGAAAAGCTGCATAAAAGCAATAAATGCTAATTATGGCTACATTATTTCCCTTTGTTATTAGAATGATATGATTTATTATCAAAGTATATTCTATATGTCAGTGCCCAAAACAAAATATTTAGGTGAAAATTCTCACAATAATTTGCAAAAAGGTAAGTTCACACCATTTGGGTAAGTTCACACTACCTTTTAATAAATTAACGTATTTGTCCTACCTTGCAGCTGAGGAAACTTTCAGCCAAGATAACAGCAATTCTATCACCTTGAATTTATTTAGCACCTTTCGGTGAGCTCATAATATCTTAAAATTATCAGTTACTTTCAACACAAATGAAACTGCTAATTTTGAATCAAACCAATACACAACCTTATTTTAAACACAAGATAAACCAGTTTCAGAAGAGTTAAATGATCTGTATTAAAATCAGAGTTCAGGTATCACTAGCAAAGTCACAAAGAGTTTGCAAATTCAAACTCACTGATGAGTCATATATTCTACTGCACATGAGTTACTAACAGGCTATCATGTGTCATATGATAAAATCATATCTGCATGTATCATATGATGGTCATTTTAATATCTCATTTTATCATCTAAATAACAGTATTCTAGAGGCTCAGAAAGCTTTTCATTTACTGAATGAACTAGTAAATATGTGAACAATGCATGCAAGCATACACACGTCTAACAGGTATAAAACCATTGTAAAATATTATTTTTATAGCTTTTAATTCTGTTTGGAGATTTAAACATCATACTTATTGGTATGAGAAGCTGGTCAGACAACCAAATTTATAACTGTACTAATGCTACTTAATGGACATACTGCCAGTAATTACATTTGAAAAAATTAGATTTAGAGTTCACTAATCACATAAGCATGTGATATCATCAACCACTTTTATTTATTTTTTTTGAGACAGTCTCACTTCATTGTCCTTGGTAGAGTGCTGTAGAGTCATAGCTCAGAGTAGCCTCAAAGTCTTGGGCTCAAGTGATGCTCTTGCCTCAGTTTTTCATTTTTAGTGGAGACAGGGTCTCACTCTTGCTCAGGCTGGTCTCCAGCTCTTGAGCTCAAACAATCCACCTGTGCTGGCTTCCCAAAGTGCTAGAATTATAGGCATGAGTCACCATGCCTAACCTGTCAACTACTTTTAAAAGACACATGATAATAAATGAGAACTTGAGTAAGAAGTGAGTCAATCTCCAAGGGAAATGGCCTAGGTAATCTTAAAAAAAAAAAAAAAAAGTAAAGAAACAAAATTGTCTACTCTATTGTCTGAATAGACAATGAATTAAGGAACTGAAATAAGCATTTACCTTGAAACCTAACTTGACCAAGTCATGTCGTTTTAAGGCAGCATGAGTACAGGTCATAGCAATAATTTTGGCTTCTTTCACCAGAAGGTATTTAGATCTGTCCAATCCACTGCGAAGGAGCTCAGATGCTCTGAATTCCTATGGGAGTGGGGACAGCCAATGATTATTTTAGGAAAACATAGTTTATACATACAATCTAGTCTATCAGACTTAATTCATGATAAATTAATAAACATATATTAAAACTAAGCCTAATGAATCATAATTCTTTCCATTATTATTCAAATAATAGTCAGTATAAAAGTTATAATTTGGACTGGGTTTTATAGAAGGTAAAATATTTACAATATAAACAAACTGATAAGTATTCCTATTAAAGGACATTTAAGCAAGGAACTGGTTGTATAGGTGGAAAGAGGAGCCAAAAGGCCAACCAGGGAATAGTGAAGTAACTCAGTGACACAGGCAGTTACTACTGTTCCTAGGCTACAAAGAATAAATGGAGAGAGTGGTGTTTTAGAGCTAGAAACACAAAACAAGCTAGAAGCACAATGGACCAGTCCAGCAGAAACTGGAGTCACGGAAAAGATAAAACCCAAGGCAGAGAGGACTAGCAGAGAAATACCCTGCATTCTCTCCTTCAACTTCTGCCAAATCTCTCACTGGCTAAGTTTAGCCAGAAGTCAGCTGACAGGGAGGCTGGGAAATTACGTCTGCGGGGATCAGCCTGAATATCAACCATGGCAGAGGATCCCCCAGAGATCACAACTGGAAATAGACAATACATGAATATGGGGAACAAATAGGCCTAAGCAGGGTATACAGTGTCAAGTTTTATCACATCTAAACTTTATCCATACTTATTTCAAACGCTTTTAACATTTAACATTTTTGTTTTGTTTCTTAAATAATTACAACTCCACGGATACAAATAAGGTACTCTGTTATCTGTATATCCCTCTCCCTGCCCCTTCTTGAGGCAGCTACTATTTGAATCAAGTATGTTTTTAACCTTTCCCTCTGTTCTTTTACTATCTTGTAATCATAAACATAACACAGTATTCCTCTACAGGTTTTAGCATTCTATTGCTGTCATATTGTATTATTTTGGATCTACTATTCACCCAGATACTGTTCTAGGAGGTGGGAATATAATCACATCTAAAAGACATAAACACAAAAGAGACAAAGTCCCTGCCCTTTTTACTTAGAGTAATCCTAAACCTTTTTACTAAGCAATCTGAGCCTGAATGTGATTGTTTTCAAGAATGCTGCAGTTTTGTAATAATGTTTGCTTTTAGGCATGCAAAAACTAGGAGACATCCCACGGGGGCCTGGGTTCCAGACATAGTCTCTGTTCCCATCATGTAGCTATGGTTCTCTTATTTAACACTATGGTTCCAAGAACCTAAAAAACTGGTTTGACCATTGCTTCCTATATTCCTATATTCAAACTGTGGCTTAATCCTGAGGGCCTGGTAAACCAGTTCACTTACTTATTAGTTGCCGACGTTGAGTACTGTTGAAAAGAGATACTCTTAGATTAATGGTAGGTAAATAATGATGAGTAAGTAAATAATGCAAAAATTACTGGAGAATTCAGGGATGAGGGTAAACTGGTGGCTAGAGGAGGCAACATATTATCAATCATCCTGGCTAGCATAGCAACCTCATTAGCAATCTCAAATCCCAATTCAAAGAAGCACTGTTGAATTTCCTGGTGGAGGCATTCTGTTCTTAAATACTAACATCTTTACAGCAGAAAAGTCAGAAGAGGGGTCTAATTCATATCTCATACTTACTTCTTGAATTAAAACTATAAATGTTTTCAGTAATTTTACTTAAAAGTGATAATCTTATTTAAGATTTGAAAGGTAAACATTTACTTCACTAAAAAGGACTAAACTAAAAACCATTAAAGGAAAGCTCAAAGAACTTAAGAATCCTTACCTCGAGCTGAGTAAAGATTTTCTTAATATGCCTGAAACAACCTTCAGCAATTTCCATGTCTTCTTCATAAGATCTGCCTTTAAAAATGGGCTGAGGAGCATTTGCAAAGTATTCATGGAAAGGGAAGAAAGTGGAGACTTCCGTAACATCTGCCAACGTACTACCTTTATTCTTCACTTTGCTGATGTACTCTTCCCAACGAGACATTACCTGTAGGAGAAAGGATTTGAGGTTAGCTTTCGCAACTAATCATTATATTTGAAACAGTATAATAAAAAAGAAATCTAGTAAAAATAAGATGGTTAAGTTAAAAAAAAAAAAGGAAAAGAAATGCAATCATTGACCCAACATAACTATTCCTCATTCCAGTCACTGATAGATTATTCTTCTTTGATAAAAGTAACTTTTTGAGTGAAGAAAAATGGTTCCATCTCAGATATTTCAGATTTTTCATGTCTATTCAAGATAGTATATTGCCAATCCTCTTTAACACATTAATCACACACACACACACACACACACATTTTTCCTTGGGCCTGTGGAGTTTTACTATGAAAATAGAATGAACACTTTAAAAACAAAACAGTCCTAAGACATGCATGAATAAAAAAGTAATGTAAAAACTAGTAATGTAAAAAGTACATGAAAACTTGAAAAATTGTCCATAACTCACATGGCAGTTAAGATGTTTTTAAAAGCAAAGCAAAGAAAGCTCTCTGGACAAAAGAAACTTCTCTTTTTGTTCATTATCTCAATTACTCTCCATATATGGAAATTCAGCTTTTGCAGCTTTTTAATCAATTTGGCACCTGTCAGCCCTTCTCCCAGATCTTTGTAATTTTCCAAACTCTCTTAAAACATTTATAAAAAAACTTCTGTTTGAGCATATGTTTGGAAGTGCACCTTCTAACTTCTGTGCTACAGCTCAAATACGTCTTTGTGCATGTGAGCTCTGCCTCTATCTCTACTCAGTTCTGAGGAGGAACTGAGTTCTTACTTAGCTTCAATTTTTATAATGCTCTCAAATATTTTTCTGTTATAATCTTAGTGTTTCTCAAAGTATAGTCCTTGGCAGAATATTGGAGGAACTGGATAAAAACATAGATTCCTATATCCAACCCTACTGCATAGGAATCTCTGAAAATAGGGCTTGGGTATTTGATCTTTTAAAAAACTTTCTAAATGTAATTCTTATATGTTGAAAACTGCTCATTTACATTGTGAACCCTTAAGTTTATTTATTCTTCCCAAACTTAATCATGTAAACCTACACGATTTATAGATTATCTCTTGTACTTTTCAAAGTAGTTTTTTGTAAGATCCAAGTGTGTCAAATTTGCATTTAAACCTTGATCTTATCCAAAGTTCTAAGCAACCCGAATCTAATGTAGACCACATTGTAAGAAGAGGCACGACTTCCCTATTCCACTGGAAACCATGAAACCAAATCATTTTGAATGGACTTGGCTGGTTTGTGTATCCAATTATAATGAGCATGAGTCCACTCATTCATATATATTTAAAAATTTCAATGTGGTAATTTATATCTAAATATATAACTGACATGAGAACAACGTTATACAACAATCTTTATTATCTGCCATCTTCGTCCATTTAAATTATTAATAATCTACCTTACTACATTTATTAAAGGTTATTTTTATTCACTTTCTTTGGCTTTTTATTTCTCACCAGTTTTCATAGTCCCCAAATTAACCCTAACAAAAATTAAAGCACACTTTAAAATTGAAGTCCAAAGAACTTTTTAGGCCAGGGATGGTGGCTCACACCTGTGATTCTAGCACTATGCAAAGCCAAGGTGGTGGATGGCTTGAGCTCAGGATTTCAAGACCAGCCTGAGTAAAAAGATCCTGTCTCTTCTAAAACAAAAGAAAGAAAGAAAGAAAGAAAGAAAAAATAAAAACTAGTTGGGCTACTAGTTTATAATCCCAGCTACTAAGGTGGCTAAGGCAAGAGGATCAACTGAGGCCAAGAGTTTGAGGTTGCTGTGAGCTATGATGATGCCATGGCACTCTACCCAGGGTGACAAGGTGACAGACTAAGACTCTGTCTTTAAAAAAAACAAAACAAAACAAAAAAAGAGGGAGAGAACTTTTAATTTAAAGTCTGACTGTGAAATTAGTTCTAAGACATAATTTATTTCTGGAAATTTGAAAGAATGTTTTCCCTCATTAGCTAAAGTACATGATAAAACTTAATGGTACTTTGTTACCAGTACATGGCTAGAATATTTATTTATATTTCCACAGTAATTTAAAAAAAGAGACTGGAAGCTTTGTCAATAGAAAGAAGAGAAAAAAATTAAAAAGTAGGAACATGGGCCTTTCACTAAATGAGTCATCAAGCTAAGTTATTCAGCAAAGAAAACTGAAGAAATAAAAAATATAAGCACTTAACGTTTATAAATATAGCTTTGGCAATACCATTTATCTGAATCTACTCGACAAAAAAAATCCTTTAAGAAGGATCACAAGAACCCAACCAAGTTTCTAAGTGGGAGTCATAAGAAAGTATGATTTAACAACCCTTAGTACCTTACCTGATACAAGAAGAAATAGCCTGCAGTTTCACAGGTATAGGAGGCGTCTCCTGGAACGCCCAGACTCTTTTGCAATCGTTTGACTTCTTCTAAAAGTTCTATTCTTCGAGCCAGGACATAATTAACTCTTCCATACCTAGAAATTGCAATTAGGCAAAAAGATAAAACTATATAATGAAGAGACTTTAAGAAAATTATCAGGAAAATTCAAGAAAATCATAATAGAAACTATAAATGGCCAAAGAGGGGAGAAAAGAGAAACAGTAGAAACATATTTATATGTTACTAGAAGTTGTAGTTCTTGGGTATTTTACACAGAAGCTATTTGGAGAGTATCCCATGGAGCAGTGCTGATCTACAAGTCTATTACTGGGGTGTGAGGAGGGAAAACCAACTATGGTACTACAGACACCATTTTAATCTAGCTAGCACTCTTTTTTTTTTTTTCATAACAAGACTTTCACAAAAGAAACAGTCCAGTGACTTTTGGTGCTAGCTAATCTCATCACAGACCAAGACTATATAGTTTGTGGACAGGCTAATTTGAATAGTGCTGTTTTACACTATTGGCAACCAAACCTATTAAGTTCATGTATGTGTGCTGAATAGAAAAACTGAAGTGTGTAGAGGTCAGTGTGGAGCCCTGTTCAAAAATACATACTTAGGAAAGAGAATGGTAGAACCAGAATTAGATCCTAAAGTTCAGACACACTCTTTCCACCAAAACAAAGTGCATCCTATAGTCTTTTATACTTAAAACCAGGTTAAAATGGCTTGGCCAGGCACAGTGGCTCACACCGATAGTCCTAGCAATCAGGGAGGCCAAGGCAGGTGGACTGCTTGAGCTAAGGAGTTGGAGACCAGCCTGAGCAAGAGTGAGACCCTGTCTCCACTAAAAATAGAAAAATTAGTCAGGCATTGTGACGGGTGCCCACAGTCCCAACTACTCAGGAAGCTGAAGCATGAGGATCACTTGAACCTAAGAGTTGGTGGTTGCTGTGAGTTATGACGATGTCTGCGCCCTCAACCCCAGGGTGACAGAAAGAGACTTTGTCTGAAAAAAAAAAAAAGATTAAATGGTTTAATCACTGCTGTTGACCATCTTAAAGATTTGTTCCTGTTTCATAGTTCAAGATTCACCTTTGGCGTAGCAAGAAATGATCAAGAGTATAAAAGAAATGTAAGACACAATCTATGTTTTGAAGAATTTTTCAACTTGAACATAAACATTATGCAGGTTAACTGTTTTCTATTTGCTTATCTCTAATTTAAAATTTTATCTACAATGAACACTTTGCTGATGAGAAAGAAATGTTTAGAGACTTTGTAAAAAAATGCCAAAATTCTGTGACATAATGATAAATTTAAAAAGCAATGTGCAATACAACAAAATTCTATGTACTATCTGCTAAGTTAGTATGTCAGACTTTAAAAGTAAGGTTTAGGGTGGCACCTGTGGCTCAATGGTTAGGGCACTGGCCCCATATACGGAGGGTGGCAGGTTAGAACCCGGCCCCCGCCAAACTGCAACAAAAAATAGCTGGGTGTTGTGGTGGGCACCTATAGTCCCAGCTACTCCGGAAGCTGAAGCAAGAAAGTTGCCTAAGCTCAGGAGTTGGAGGTTGCTGTGAGCTATGATGCCACTGCACTCTACTGAGGGAAATAAAGTGAGACTCTGTCTCTAAAATAATAATAATAATAATAAATAATAAAAGGTTTATTAAATATTTTTAAAAAGCAATATATAAAATTACAAATAAAGTCTGAATAAAGAAAAAGACTAACAAAAAGTTGTTTTCCATGGAATTATGGATAATCACTCCCTAAGACTTCAGTAAGTGTTAAAATTTTTTCATTGCAGAGTTTTATATTACTTTTTGTTGTAAAACAATAGTCATTACTTTTCTTTTTAATTGTGACAAAAAGACAGAAATGAAAGAATATGCTTACCAAATGAACAAACACATACAAATAAGACCTAGGACTCAGCTTGTGTATCAGACAACAAAAAGTATTTCCCCCCCCCAGAAATTTGGTGGTATATGTAATCATTTTAAAAATTTTACTTCTAGGTTGGGCATGGTGGCTCAGGGCCATAATCCTAGGTTTTGGGAGGCCAGGCAGGAGAATTGCTTGAGCCCACTAGTTTAAGGACACCAATTTGGGTGACATAGTTAAGACCTCATTTCTACAAAAAAAATTAGGCAAGCATGATGGTGTGCCTATAGCCCTACCTACTTGGAAGACTGAGGCAGGAGCATAATTTGAGCTTAGGAGTTCAAGGCTATAGTGAACTATCATCATGCTACCATATTCCAACCTGGGTAATACAGCAAGAACTCTCTCTTAAAAAAAAAAAAAAGAAATTCTACTATTATAATATTCTTTTAATAGTATAAATTCTACTGTAATATAATTGTAATTATAGCATTAAGTATTCCATTATCACCACTATGTTCACTGAATTATGACGTATTAGATTTCAGAATCTAACCCATTTTTGTTAGATTTTTTCCTTTTATTATTTTTTTTTTTTTTCAGTTTTTGGCTTGGGCTGGGTTTGAACCCGCCACCTCTGGCATATGGGGCCAGCACCCTACTCCACTGAACCACAGGCACCACCCTAATAAATAAGTACTTTTTTTGTGTGTTTTTATTTTAGAGACAGAGTCTCACTTTATTGCCTTTGCTAGAGTGCCGTAGCATCACAGCTCACAGAAACCTCCAACTCCTGGGCTTAGGTGATTCTCTTGCCTCAGCCTCCCAAGTAGCTGGGACTACAGGTGCCCACCACAACACCTGGCTATTTTTTTGTTGCAGTTTGGCCCAGGCCGGGTTTGAACCCACCACCCTCGGTATATGGAACCGGTGCCCTACTCACCGAGCCACAGGTGCCACCCCGTCTTTGTTAGATTTAACATGACAAAATACCCATAAGAAGCACTAATGGATCCAAAATCAAGAATCTAGTACCCCAAATAACTTATGGCATGTTTTGATTTGCCCTTTGCAATATGACGACTTTTTAGGGGTTAAGTGTGAGCTCTGCAATGTAAGAACTCAAAATGGATGCAACATTATAATTTAAAACTTATTTAATATTTGTGATCCAATTTAGTCAAAGATCATGTTTAATAGTCAAAGACTATATTAAATATGCCTAGCTACTACTTATGTTCATTACCTAAAATTTGATTTTTAATTGGATTTAAAAAAAAAACTAAAATACTAATGATGAAAAAATTTAACTCATAAAATTTTAGTCAACTTACAATATATAATATGAAACATAAAGCCCAGATGAATTGGCAATAAGTATCAGTAATTATACTTACAATCCCAAAGCTTATACTATCATTATTAATTTACACTTCTCTAAATAAACTGACCCCTTAGTTGGTAACTAAACACATGTAAATTAAATGTCTGAATGAAATGTGAAAAAAGAATCTTTAAAGTTGTATAGTTCTGAACTGCCAAGATGAAAAATTACCTCAATAACCAGAAACCAAATGGCCGTCTACAATTTCATAAAGATGAATCAGATAATTCTCTTCATTAAATTAACTGAATACTTGAGGAAAAAATAGCATAACCACACAAAATTTTAGGTCAATATATAATCTAGCTAGGTTACACTAGAACCTTTCAGAATCGAGTTTGGTTATTCACTGCACTCTTCTCCTGGCGTTTCTTTAATAAAGAGAAGGAAGAAAAAGTCAAAAATTCTTTTGCACATTGTGCCATAACTCACTCCCATCTGCTCACCTGCTGAAATCTTTCTCTGTCTCCAGCTCCTCTTCTCCATGACCAAGACGCAAAAGGTGGCGTTCATCAATATCTAAAGCCATAATTTTCTCAAACAACTGATTCAGGGCCTGAAGAATAAAGCAAAAAGGAGGATGGTAAGTTTCAAGGAATCAGGAGGCAGGCACCTTTAAACGTAACAAAAACTGACATTTGGCAGTGCTCGTAGCTCATTCAGTAAGGTGCCGGCCACATACACCAAGGCTGGCAGGTTCTAAACTGGCCCATGCCAGCTAAAACGACAATGACAACTGCAACTGCAACAACAACAACAAAAATAGCCAGGTGTTGTGGTGGGTGCCTGTAGTCCCAGCTACTTGGGAGGCTGAGGCAAGAAGATTGCGTAAGCCCAAGAGTTTGAGGTTGCTGTGAGCTGTCACACCACGGCACTCTACTCAGGGCAACAGCTTGAGACTCTGTCTCAAAACAAACAAGAAAATATCCCCTGACATTTAGAAGGACAGAAAAGAATGAGCATTGTCTGATTAAGAATCAAAATTGAAACACAAAAGGAAATAGATCTTACATTAGACCATTTATAATTTTGAAAAAAAAAAAAAGGTTGTTGTTGATTTCTGATATTGCCATCTATGTAAATTTGGCGAAATGAATAAATTATAAACCATAAAACCACCTAACCATTAAATCTCTGCTTTTAATTAATGAAAAGAGAAGGGTAATGGCTCAGATGCCATTTCCCCCAAGATGTAATAATTTCTAAAATAATCAGCAACCATACTGAGTTTCCTTTCATTTAATAGCATTTCTATGGGTTGCAGAGAACTAAAAAAGTTTTTGCAGTTGAAAAAGGACAGTAACAAGGTGGTGACTGTGTAGGTGAATGACATTAAGAGGACCAGAGGGTGGAAAGATAAAAGTGCGTTATTCAAATCTTAGACTAAAAAGTCTAAGATTTTTAAGCACTCATTTATCACAAAATACTCTGATGAAAGCAATTTAGAACTCATTCTCTGCTACCTATGAAATGTTCAAATTTAGGCTTCCCTTAAATCCTCATAAACATTATCTGAACCTCTATAATTACAAAGTTTTACAGAAAGGCAGGAGTTTTGGAGTATGGAAAGGTACAATAATAAAGATATCATTTAAAAATCAACCTCCATTCCAACATCTCTATTTATCACTAGTCCAACCCTACTTGCCGAGTCAACATCCAATCTCATAAATACCCAGGTTATCTAATGTAAATACAGATATCCACTCAATCAAAATTCTAGCAATTAGAACTTAGAAACTGAAGAGATTTAACATAACATTTCTGAGAAATTACCTACTCTGTCCAAACTCTTTTTTGATACTTAACCATCCAAAACTCAGGACCCAACAAATCAGATTACACGACATTACTCATTATCCAAACTCAACAATCACATGGATTTAGCGAATAAAAAATACCCTCACATTACAGTCTCAGCAAAAACTACAAAATTTCATTATGAATTAGAATGATGTTGGAGAACTACTTGAATCAGACATGCAAATGATGATCTGGCAAACAAAACAGTTAATAACTGAAGAAAAAATTCAATAATTTGATGGGCATCAAGGAGGATGATTTGAATTTCACAGGATTGAGAAAGACCTTTAACAAGTAATGAATTATTTGTCTAGTTGTACACATCACTCTCCTCTATGATTGTGCTATACAGGTCAATTACACTGTAGAAGAATCTATAGAAAGCCACATAAAGGTATGACAAAACTTAGTAAAAGCTATTGCTAAAACAACAATTATTCTTTGTTCACACTAAAAATTTACAAGTATGTATAATTATTACAGACTAAATTCTATTATATAGAAGAAACTTCTTTTCATAATTTTGTTTTATCAAGATAAAGTCCAAAGTGACACCCTACCCTGAACAACTCCCCCCGCCCAACAACATGCCACTATTATTTATAAACTTCAAAAATATTATAAAAATATGACAGGTCAATGAACTACACAGTATTACTTAAAAAAAAAACAAAACCATAAATTTAAAGTTGACAAACACCAGAATAACTGACGTTTAGCATTCCAAAAACTCGACACTTCTAGATCAACTCTTCTGAAGACTGGGCAACTGATGTCACCATTATTAAATAGATTCTGAGAAAGTGAGTACTTTCAGAGGTTATGCAGGGTGCTCTAAAAATCTTATCATAGGAAAACAGAAATCTTGGAATGTATTCTCCATGAGTGGGGAAAAGATTTCGTGTGTGTGTAGAAAAAGGTGGCCACCACATACAGAATGTTTTATAAAATTTTATAATGAATATTTTGTAAATAAAGATACATTTAGCAACAATATGCATTTTCCCTACAAGTTTGGGGACACCCTGCAAGTTTCATAATGTGTTTCAGGATGTGCTGAGAACTGCCTATCACACTTTGCAGCAGGGCTAATACACATGCCTTGTTCTTCCTCATTTCTGAAGGCTTCTAATGCAGTACACATAGTCTTTCCATAAACACAGATATTTACATGTACATTTCACAACATTTGAAATTCAATTCAATATTAATACACTTCAGTCTTTCAGGAATATTCATCCTACTAAATGAAGGAAAATGTTACCGGTAAGGGTTAATACTTTCTTTCAATCTCAAAGTGAAAGTTCTAGCTCAGCATGGAGGAAGGTTAAAAAATAAAGGAAAAACTGACAATTTAACTTAATCCAAATATCTGACCACATACCCAAATATTACTAGCTTTTCCATATTTTGACCCTCTCTAATAGGAATAAAGGTGCTTTTATATGTCCCTTAGTGTAGTCTGGTCATTGGTGGTGATAATCTAAGAATAACTCAATAGCAAATACTATTCAGATGCTCTTTGACTTATGATGGCGTTACATTATGATAAACTCATCATAAATGGAAAATATGATACACTGAAAATGTATTTAATACATCTACCTTACTGAACATCATGGCTTAGCCTAGCTCACCTTCAATGTGCTTAGAACACTTATATTAGCCTACAGTTGGGTAAAACCATCTAATACCGTGCCTATTTTATAATAAAATGTAGACTATCTCATATAATTTATTGAATATTGTACCAAAACTATAAAACAGAATGGTTATATGGGTAAACAAAGTATGGTTTCTACTAAATACTTTCATATGATCATAAAGTCAAAATATCATAAATCAAAATATTTTAAATTGAGCCATTACAAGTTGGAGACCATCTGTACTAATTAGTCTTTCCTAATATTCTGTGGTACCTGCGATCAGGTTTTCATACAAGAAGAAATCATCTACAACACTGTGCTTTCATGCATCCTTCTCCTTTCTTTACTGCTGCTCCCCTCACCCTCAACATGCACCTTCACGTGTGCATGCATGTACACACACACACCCACACACAGAGTCATTTACCTGATTGGAATGAGTAACTATTAGAGTTCTCTGCTCTGGAAAGTTGTGGTAGATGTTGGATATGATTTGGACTGCCACATCAGTTTTTCCCGTGCCAGGTGGACCCACAACCTTAAAAGAAAATGAATGTATAACAAATTACTAAGTTATCATACTATTAAAAAGTAGAAAGTCTAAGGATAAAAAATAACAAATAAAAAAATTTACTGGATGGATTCAACAACAGAATGGACAGTGGCTGGCTTCCTCTTCTCAGAGGAAGAGCCAGTGAACTTGAAGAAAGATCAGTAGAAATTTCGCAAACTTAATAACAGAAAAAAAAAATAAAAATAAATGAATAAACAGAGACTCATGAGTTTATGGGACAACACCAAATGGTCTAATATTCATGTCACTGAATTTCAAGGAGTGAAAAAAGAGTACAGGATGGATAAAAATATTTGAAAACTAATGGCTGAAATTTTTTGCAATATAGCAAAAGACATAAAGCTACAGATTTGAACAGAGTGCTAAACAGAATAACTACAAAAAAACAAATCCAAGCCCAGATTTACCATAATTAAATGGCTGGAAACTAAAAAAAAAAAAAAAATCTTAATGGGGAGGCACCTGTGGCTCAGAGTAGGGCGCCAGCCCCATATACCGGAGGTTGCAGGTTCAAACCCAGCCCTGGACAAATAGAAAAAAAAAAAAAAAAGTCTTAATGGTAATCAGAGAAAAAGAATAGATTACATATAGAAAGGATGTTTAATCTGACTGTGGTTTTCTTATCACAAAATATTGAAGTCAGAAGGAAGTGGAAAAACATCTTAAAAGTACTGAAAGGAAATAAAAAAACCTTCTCTCAATCTAGAATTTTATGTACAGGGAAAATATCTTTCATGAATAAAGGTGAATTAGAGATATTTTCACATAAGGGAAAACAAAGATAACTCACTGCTAGCAGACCTGTTCTAAAAAGTGATTAAAAAAAAAAAATTCTTCAGACAGAAAGGAAATGGTACCAGAGGAAACCGAGTGTTTAGAATGAAGGATAAATGGTAATGAAGGATAATGGAAGGATAAATGTAATATACTGCCTGATGGTATCTTCAATGTACTTAGATATGTAAGAGAACTATGACATAAAAGCAGAAGGTAAAGGGACCTGCACGGCAGTTAAGTACCCTCCATTCAATCTGAAGTGACAAAATACTGAGTCTCAGTAGGCTATGAAAAGTTTAGTATGTTGCAACTCCCTAGAGCAGTAACTAAGAGAACAAAACATTAAGAGCTATTTAAATAACCGAAGAGAAGGCAGTAAGGGCAAACTGAAGAATACGAAATAAAGGGAACAAACAGAAAGGAAATAAAAAGTGGTAGGCCTGTATCCAAACATATCAATATTTGCATTAAATACATATATACATGGTCTGAACGCACAAATTGAAAAACAGACCATCGGCAGTGCCTGTGGCTCAGCGAGTAGGGTGCTAGCCCCATATACCGAGGGTGGCGGGTTCGAACCCTACCTCAGCCAAACGCCAACAACCAAAAAAAAAAAAAAATCCAGCTGTTGTGGTGGGCACCAGTACTCCCAGCTGCTCGGGAGGCTGAGGCAAGAGGCAAGAGAATTGCCTAAGCCCAAGAGCTGGAGGTTACTCTGAGCTGTGACGACAGGGCATTCTACCAAGGGCAAAAAAGTGAGACTCTATCTTAAAAAAAAAAGAAGAAAAACAGACTGTCAGAATGGATTAAAAAAAAATATGTTCCAAATATATGCAGTTTATAAGAAACTCACTTAAACATAATGATAGGTAGAAATAAAATAATGGATAAAGAAATACTCAAACACTAATCAAAATAAAGCCACAGTGGCTACATTAATATCAGACAATGGAGACTTCAGAGCAAAAAAAATCGCCAGCACTGGAGGGACATTACATCATAATAATGAATCACTTCACCAAGACAACAACCCTGAAGGTGTAAGCATCCATGCACAAAGCTTCAAGATATATTTTAAATGGAAATACAGTTCAGGGGTTAACATTTGACTGACTGCAAAAACCGACAGGAAAAACAAACAAATTCATAATTACAGTTGAAGACTTCAGTATTCTTCTTTCAATAATCACCAGAAATAACAGACAGAAATTCAGCAATAATAGAGAAGAAATGAGTAACAGAATCAACCTAATGGTTCTCATTGATATTTATAGGACATATCACCCAAATACAACAGAATACATTCTTTTCAGTGCACATGAAATATTCTCCAGGATAGAACAGATCCTGAGCCATAAAACAAATCTCAACATATTAAAAAAGCAAAAACCAAAAAATTGATATCATACTAAGCATGTTCTCTGACCATAATGGACTTAAACCAGCAATCAGTAACTGGAAGATAAGAGGAAAATCTCCAATTACTTAGAGGTTAAACACTTTTAAATCAGTTGTCTGCAGACTTTCTCTGTAAAGAGCCAGAGAGTAAACATTTTAGGCTTGGCCATAAAATCTCTATTACGAATACTTATCTCTGCTGTTGGCAGCACAAAATTAGCCACAGGCAATACAAAAACAAGCAATGGATTTGCTATTTACCCTAATTTGATCATTACAAAATGGACACAGGTATCAAAATAACACACTGTACTCCATAATTATGTACAATGTTATCTGTTCATTAAAAATAAAACAAAGCTTTTAAAATTAAAAAAAAAGACCAAGTTCTAATAAAACTTTATTTATGGCAGGTGGTGCCTGTGGCTCAAAAGGGTAGGGTGCCAGCCCCATATGCCAGAGGTGGTGGGTTCAAGCCCAGCCCCGGCCAAAAAAAAAAAAATTTACTTATGGACTTGGTGCCTGTAGCCAAGGGCTACAGGGCTCTGACTACATACACTGGGGCTGGCAGGTTTGAACCCAGCCCAGACCTGCCAAACAAAACTACAACAACAACAACAACACCACCACCACAAATAGCTGGGTGTTGTGGCAGGCGCGGGTAGTCCCAACTACTTGGGAGGCTGAGGCAAGAGAATTGCTTAAAAGCCCAAGAGTTTGAGGTTGCTGTGAGCTGTGATGCCACTTCACTCTACCAAGGGTGACATAGTGAGACTGTCTCAAAAAAAAAAAAAAAAAAACTTTATTGATGAACATTAAAATGAACTGCAAGATCTCCACACACATTAAGATGCTATAATACAATTACTTACAAATACTTAAATTCAGCTAGGTTTTTGCGCTCTAAATAGAATACACTCTAAAATCTGTTGCTTAATTCTAGTCTTAATCCCTGTAAGAACATGTGTAACAATAATTCTCTTACCATAGTCAGCCCAGGCTGCATTCCAGCACGGATAGCCTCTATCTGTGTATGAGTGAACTGAATTGTATTACTACAAATAAAAGGGTAAATAAAAAGTTGGTTAAAAAGAGAGATAAATGAGATTTAGTACAAATTTCAGCAACATTGACCAGAGGTCCAAACGTCAGCCCTGTATCCAGCCTTGTTCTCTGAATCTCTTTTCAATGACTTCCTTCTCCTTTTCTCCCTAACACAACTAAAACCAAAAAATCTTATGGAAAGATTACAGTTATTTTTCAATACACTTAGCCTGTCCCAGACCTCAGTAGGTGTGCCAGAGGTCTAGCTTCCAAGCTAGCACCAAATACAAGACAACTTTATTAGTTACAGCACACACACGTGAGGGCTACTGCTGTGCATAACGTGTACTCATGAATTAAGACTATGCTTAGACTAAGGTAGTACTCAAAACTTTACTTTTGGGCGGGACCTGTGGCTCAAATGAGTAGGGTGCTGGCCCCATATGCCGGAGGTGGCGGGTTCAAACCCAGCCCCAGCCAAAAACTGCAAAAACACACCAAAAAAACCTTTATTTCTCATAGCACCCCAAAAGGCTTCTTTTTGAAACATTATGACTATAGAGTGGCCTAAAATGTGACAGAAGGGAAGAAGGACCAGAAACAGAAGTTTCTTCAGATTTTAAAAGAATCTAAAAATCTAAAAACATCACTAACCGATTTGGAATGGCTACCATTATCAGAAGAAGAAATAGGTAGTGAAATTACCGTTTGGGTTGATTATAAGGATAAGGACCCCTATTAGGAATAACATGAGGTTCCACAATTAGAGTTTTTGCCTCGTCTGTGTCTTCGTCTTCTCCGTCTGCATCCTTTCTTTTCTTCCCTTTTCCACTTCTGACTGGAAAAGTTATTCTACAAGAACAAAACTTTTGTTAATTATTACATAAGGATTTACTGAGCAACTATCTTGTATATGATACTCAATGCAGGATAAGCAGATGAGTAAGAAATATTTCTGGCCTAAAAGGAACTCCCTATCTGCACACAAATCCTGAAAAAAGCACATTTATAAGCACTAAAATGGGTATTAAGAGTGTTCAGATTGGAAAAAGACATTCAATCAAGAAAGAATTTAAAGAAACATTAAATACTCATGTCATATGCATGGTAAAGTGCTGTACTCAAGCACTGTAAGGTTCTTCCTTTAGTCAGAAATCACTTGATGAGACAGGTGGTATCGAAAATGAGTCCTGAAGAAGTCAGAAATTCAAAGATGAGATTACTGAAGAAGAGCAACAGCAGAGGCCACGTACAAGCAGCTGGAGTGCAGGACACAACAGACATTTGTTACGACACCTCTGGATTATGAAGCTTTTAAGGCAGAGGTTCTTCATCTGCATTTAGGAGGTGACTCCCCACAGATACCTGAGGTAAGTCAATGACCTCCCTAAAACTACACTCAAAAAATCAATTCTCTACGTGTACTTTTTCCAGTCTTTCTTTACATTGTAAAAGGATAGATAATACCAAAAATGCTATGCATCAAAGAGGTTAAGAAGTAAGCAACAGGAGCAGCCAGCTTTTTACATAGGAAGTAAGTGGCTCTAGCAGTAAGGTATGTAAAGGATTTGGGGCAGGAAAGGCACTGTCATAATGAGGACACGGCACATGAAAAACTACATGTAAGGCAAAATCTATGGGATGTGGCAGGATTTCTGGGAGTAAAAACATTCAAAAGTAATACTGAGATTTCAGCATTAGAAAAATAATTAGAAAAATAATTTTTGCCATTAATAGGCTTAGGAAAGGCCAGGTCTGGTGGCCTGTAATCCTAGCACTCTGGGAAGCTGAAATAGGTGGATTGCCTGAGCTCACGAGTTCGAGACCAGCCTGAGCCAGAGTGAGACTCCATCTCTAAAAAATAGCCGGGCACTGTGGCAGGCACCTTAGTCCCAGCTACTTGGGAGGGTGAGGCAAGATAATTATTTGAGCCTAGGAGTTGGAGGTTGCTGTGAGCTATAATGCCATGGTACTCTACTGAGGGTGACAAAGTAAAATTCTATCTAAAAAAAAAAAAAAGAGTATGCATTTTTAATATATAGAATTATATTTCTATTTCATAGACAATTAAAAACTGTGTTCTAATTTCCAGCAAAGAGAGTAATCCCTAGGCCACCATACATAGGTACACTTGGTGCTTTACCTCTAATCCACGTGAAAAAATTCAGTGAATAGCGATCAATTGCCTCATCTACTTCATTCTATTTCCACTTAAATTTTAAAAGCAGAGTTCACTTAACAAAAATATAACTATACTGTGAATATCTAAAATTTGTGGAAGCAAGCAAGGTTGAAGGAAAAAAGGAATTTGTCATAAAAGTAAAAGAAAATTCAAAATCACATTGCTGTGCTTTAAGCATGTGCTATTAAGCCATGTCTAATCATGCACAAATGCAAAGATATTTCTTCAGTCAAGTGCTATAAATACATCTATATAGTTCTCTTCAGGTAAGAAGCATTTACTGATCCCTTATAAGGTATGAAGCTACTTTTATTGTAGTCTTGGAAGGCTTCTACACCAAGAATTAGAAATCTAGCTGGGTATTGTAGCAGGTGTCTGTAGTCCCAGCTATCTGGGGGCTGAGGCAAGAGGAGGACCCCTTAAGCCCAAGAGTTTGAAGTTGCTGTGAGCTGTGATGCCACAACACCCTACTGAGGGTGACAAAGTGAGATTCTATCTCAAAAAAAGAATTAGAAATAGATTCAAAAATAACAAACTCATCCCAGTGATTATATATGGAAAAGGTAGGAGTGCTGAAACACAATGCAGATACACTGTACTTTGCCATGTATAACATGATCTTTTGGGGCCAAACTTTTGAGGGAAAAATAAAGATGTGCATATACATGGATAGTACTGATTCCATAGCTATATGTTTTTTAATTCTTTTACTTATGTTTATGGAATTAAAAGTGTAACTCTAGAAAGCAACAATAAACATATGCAAAATAGTACCCTGAAATACAGTAATCAGTTTTGTTGAACCTATTTTGCAATGAAAGCCCACCTTACACAAAGTGCAAAAGCAATCCCAATGCACTTGAAAACCCAACTTGCTATACCTGCTGGGGTAACCAGCAGTTGCAGCCTCTGGATATGTCAGTAAACAAGTCCTTAAAGGCCCTAAGGAAGAAGGAATGGATGGAGCGGATGCAGTCAGCTGGTAATGACTTAACACCTACAAGCAGAATCAAGAAAGCATCCACAGACCAGGTCTGTGATTGGATCTTAAGAATGTGGAGTGGTGTCAAGAAGGAAGTGGTTGTGGAATTGTTTAAAAAATGCAGCATGAGGTCAGGCACCTATAATCCTAACACTCTGGGAAGCCAAAATGGGTAGAACTCCTGAGCTCAGGAGTTTGAGACCAGCCTGAACAAAAGGGAGATCCCATCTCTACTGAATACAGAAAAAATAGCTGGGAATCATGGCAGGCGCCTGTAGTCCCAGCTACTGGGGAGGCTGAGGCAAGAGAATGGCTTAAACCCAGGAGTTTGAGATTGCTGTGAGCTGTGACGCCATGGCACTCTACCAAAGGCACAGAGTTAGACTGCCTAAAAAAAAAAAAAAAAAAACAATGCTATGGATGGAACTGAAGACAATGAAATTTATACTGGATATGAAAAGTGACTCTTCAGAAGACACTGGTAATGAAGAAACTGAAGATGATACTTCTGATATTGACAGTAATGAAGGGTCCTTGGCCTTCTATGATTTACAAATAACCATAAATTTGTTATCAGCACATAATGTATCTCTTACTTGTTCTTGTTTTCTAATTATTTAACACATAAAATTTCTTGTACCATGTTAAAAAACAAATGCTAAAATTCCTTTATAATACAAAAAACAAGTACCTAAATATAAACAATTAAAAATTTGAATTAAGAAATAAACATGAGGGCAGCACCTGTGGCTCAGTGAGTAGGGTACCGGCCCCATATACCCAGGGTGGCACATTCAAACCCAGCCCCAGCCAAACTGCAACAAAAAAATAGCCAGGTGTTGTGGTGGGCGCCTGTAGTCCCAGCTGCTTGGGAGGCTGAGGCAGGAGAATCACCTAAGCCCAAGAGCTGGAGGTTGCTGTGAGCTGTGATGCCAGAGCACTCTACCACTGGCAAGAAAGTGAGACTCTGTCTCTAAAAAAATAAATAAATAAATAAATAAAATAAACATGAAAGATTTTTTTAATCATCAAAATTTGGGCCAAAAACATGGGTGCACATTATACACAGCAAATGCTCAGTATGCTGAGCTCAGTTATACACAGCAAATGCTGTGTATACACAGCAAATTATACACAGCAAATGCTCAGTATACACAGTAATGCTCAAAACTCACGTTAGTTAATGGTCCCAGTGGCCTAACTCTGATGGACTACAGAATGCTCAAAAAGCATGTACTCAGTTCCTATTTTACCTGAAAGGGGGTATCTGTAGAGCTGGGTCATCCACAGTCACTTTAACATTATGACCAGGAAAGCTGGCTTTTAAATGTTCAATAGAGAGAAATGTATCGTTGAAATCAAGGGTGGCAATCTGATTGGGCATTTTCGAATAATGTGCACTACTAGGGTCCCCATAACCCAAAATGATATCATGAAGCCAGTCAGGTACCACACAGTCAGTATTCATCAGGTTCCGAATAGTCTCCAGCACAGCCTGTCAGTAAAAAAGACAGAAAAGGGCTGTGTCAATAAGACATCTCAAACATTTGCACTTCACTGGAATGCAAAGCTGGCTGCACTAATCCAGAATTCCTGAGTGTTTCTGGGCAAGAAGCTATTTTCTGCTGACAGGTGCTTGGCTAGACTGAATCAACAGCTATATTTTCAGCTGATACATACACTGAGTTTAACAAAAGACCAAACTTTGCAAGAACAGTTTATCCTTTTAAGAGTTCATTTAGACAGAATGACATAAATGAGCTTACCACCTGACTCCTGTAGAGTAGGATGAAAATCAGACTCTCATCAACGCAGGAAAACATTATAGAACAAACCCTTAAAGAAAGTGCTTTCTCGTAGAAATCCCTGGAGTTTTTCCCTCTTTATATTCCATAGTCTTCACACACAACCAGAGCACATTATTGTGTACCTCAACTATGAAACGTATCATGTTTTAAACGTAATAAAGTTGCTATCATGAGAAAAAAAGTGAACAAAATGACAAAAATAAAGGAAATGTCAAATAAAATTTCAGAATGAAAGAATGAGGACTACAATAAAAGGTCCTTATAGTTGTCAACATATAAACACTATCAAAAGTGATTACCAAAAGCCAAGGCAATTCTTCACTTTTTTATCATAAAATTAACAGAATAATTCACGTTAATCACATTACCTTGTTTTACATTTCTGTACTTATCATTACCTGAAATTCTCTTATTTGGGTACTCGGTTACTTATTTACCATTTGTCCCCACTAAAATATAATTTCCCTAAGAGAAGGGTTCTAGAATAGTGTAAGTAAGGAATATGCGAATGGATGAATAAATTGATGAGCACGCTCATATAACGACGACGGATAAGATGAGGGCTCCACCCTTTAAAGAAATCATAATTCTACTGGTAGGAAGATAAAATAAGTCCTCAAATGATAAACAAAGCCGTAGAATGTTGCAGTTAAGAACATTACAAGATACAATGAGAAGACCGTTCTCAGTGGATGAGAGAAATGGATGCAGGGGAGACCTGTTACTATACAAGGTTTCATGGAGGAAAGTGACATTTTAATTTAGCTCGAGTGAAGAAGCTTTGATTTGTTTCATCATGAATGGAAAGTCACTGAAATGTTTTCAGAAGCAGAATAAAATGATGAGTGTTACACAGTAGGAGGATATGCCTGAAAAAACAGCGACTATGAGGAGACTAAGGGTACAGAAAGAGGAGACAACTGTAACTGTCCAGGCAAAAACCAGAAGTATCCAGACTAGGACAAGCTATACAAACCAGACAAGAGAGAAGGAAATAGAAGAGGGCTGCTGCCGAGGAACATAGTGAAACACTGAAGATACCAAAAGAGCATGCTTCCTTTCCCAGACACAGGCAGGCCAATCATTCCCTCTCTTTCCTGGATCAGAACCTGAATGTCTCCTGTGAGACACTTTACCTGCATCTTTATGGCTTTTAGTAGATTCATTGTAGCCATTTATTTATATTTCTAATTCCTCTCATTTGTAGTCTAAGCTCCCTACAGGTATAAGCTGTGACTGATTTATCTTTATAAGCTCTGTCTTAGCAAAATATCAGTCACATGGCTCGGCGCCTGTGGCTCAAGCGGCTAAGGCGCCAGCCACGTACACCCAAGGTGGCGGGTTTGAATCCCCAGCCCGGGCCCGCCAAACAACAATGATGGCTGCAACCAAAAAATAGCCAGGCGTTGTGGCGGGCGCCTGTGGTCCCAG